ATTAAAGATTCGGTCGCTTAATTAAATAGTATCCGGGCTAATAATTATAATCTAGTAGTTATCCTAGAACTAAGGCTTAAATAGCCGTATAGTATAGTTAAAGTCTTATAGTAGCTATAGGAACGTCTCTAGTATATATTAGGATAGTATAATCCGAAGTAAAGCTAAGAGGGCGCTAATATCGGAAGCCGTTAACTATCCTATTATACTATATACTATCTCGTAGTAGCCTATATAGTAAAATAGTAAAGAGATTCCTTTTTAACCCTAAGGTATCTTAATAGATTATACGAACGTAGTAAGCTATTGATTTTAGAAAGAAGTTTAGTATATTGTCGTTTAGCTTAAGCTACTATAGAGTTCTTACTAAAGATAAGTCGTAATAATAGATTAATTTAAAGGATTAAACGGTATAGGAATTATATCTATCTATTAATATAGTAGGGACTATAGTACCTTATAAGAACTTTTAGAAAGTTTTAATATAGCGTATAGTAAGTATATATTATAGTTCGCTCCCGGGAGAGCCGCTCCCGCTCCTAGAGTACTTAGCTTATTAGGCACTTTTTTTAATTAATAAGTATCTATATTTATAGGCGCTAAAGTTACTTAGCGCCTAGGAGTAGAAAGCTAGTTCCTAGGATCTAAGTATATATTCCCGGGGGTTCTAGGCTCTTAGGAATACCCGTCCCGTTCCTAGGGATATTTATTCGGCTCTTAGAAGGAGGCTCGGTAGTATTAACTTATATACGATTATTATAGATCGTAAGGTATAATTATTAAGCCCTAGTTTATAATATTATAAGTAATCTAGTAGTACGTAATCCTACGTATAAGTTTAATCTAGTCCTAGTATACTTATATATTATAAGAACGGCGGCTAATTATATAGGTTTCGCCTAAGGTCTATATAGCCCTAGCTACCGTACTACTAATTCTTAGCCTTATCTATTTAGAATTATTTTATCGAGTAGTCTAGGGAATTTTATATCTAGCCCTTAATCTTATAGTATTTATACCGAAAGATATTCTACTAGTAGTTTATATAGGACTAAGCTAGGCCGAAATAAGTAAGGCTATATAAGAGGTAATACTTAGGATATCTAGCGTCTTTCCGTTCTTACTTATAGTACGTACTTCTAAAATATTATTTCTCGATCCTAAATTAACTACCTAATATTAGTCTCTCCGAATAAGTATCTTACTACGAAGTCTTACCGGTACGCTATCTCGATTAGTAATCTATTTTTTACTATTTTTCCTTTCCTTAAGCTTAATTAAGATTATAACTACGCTAGTTAGTATTTATATCTACCTTCTATTATAATATACCGTACTCTTTCTTTACTTTATAGATTATCTAAGCTTAGCCTATCTCTTATAATTATTAGATAAGTATATAACGGCCGGTTCTTAGATTAGGCTATAATTATGTTATACTTTATATTAGATAATAGGGTTAGTAGCTATACTTCTTCTAATTACGGTCTTTAGAGTTATCCTATACTATTAGCTTTTATATCTAGAGGTAAGATTAGCCGCGTACGAGGAAATACTATTTTTAGCTAACTTTAATAGCTATAATTATATATTCTAATTATCTAGATTATCTTATTATATTACTCTATTCGAAGTACTAGAAGTTTAGTTAATAAATAATTAACTTATTTAATAACTATAGTAGTCCGCGAAGTTTAGGTATATAGATTTAAGGGATTTATTAGAGGACTAATAAATACTTAATATTATCGAATACCTACTTAAAGCCTTATAGCGGTATAAAGCTTTAAAATAAATTTAACTTATTCGATAGTAACGACTAATATTAGGGAAACCTATCTTCTAGTAAAATAGCTAAGTCGCCGATAGACCGATCGTTCTAAACTTTAAGTATACTAATAAGCCTTCCCCGAACTTTATTTAATATATTATCGATAGTATATAAGCGGGATACTTTCTTATTTTAATAGCGCTTTAAGCGGTTTTCTTTATTATATAGCTAAATATTCTTAGTTTATAGCTTCTTATTCTCCTCTTTAAGCTATTAGATATCTATATATTTAGAAATATAAGACTCCTATAGGTATCGAATATACCCTATTAGATATATAGTACGAAATATAAGTTTAGTATCTTCCTCTTTAATTTATTTTAAGACTTTAAGTATAGATCGGAAGGGCTCTATAACTAAAATCTACCTCTTTATATTATAATTTAGGGTCTAATTAATTAGCGTAGTCCGGTCTATTTATATTTTATTCTTACCGGTAGCGGGGTTATAATACTAGGAAGTAGGGGCTCCTCGGTTAGACTTAACTATATATAGAGCGATACCTCTACCTAAGTACCTATAACTTCTAATATTTTACTAGGGCTCTCTATAACTAATCGTATTAGCGAATACGTTTATTCCGCTATTAGGAAAGTCTCCCTTTATACTATAGATTTTCCTTACTCGGCTGCCTATAGTAGAGTATAGCTAGACTAAGATTACCGTAGTAGTAGTACTAGGTAATAGACCCTTAGTTACTTATATTCGACCGACTTCTAATATTTACTCCCTATAGCTACTATATAAATTTGCTAGTATAGACCTATATTTAAATATTAAATACCTAACCGCTAATATTAAACCGCTTTATATATAATAACGTCCTTTAGCGCCCTTAGGAATACCGTCTTTATATAGTATTAGTAGGTATTAGCGTCGGCGTCTTCCTACTAGTAACTCCTCTATATACTAATAGCGACGGCATTTTTCTTATTCGTTTATTATAAGCCGAAATATATAATATTTAATCTCTATTGCTTCTTTACACTACTACTATCTCGATATCGCTCGTTTAGGATATAGTACGTCTCGAAACCGGTATAATAAAAACGCTCTTCGATAATCTTTTCGGCCCTACTATTAAGGCCTTAGCGCAGCTTATTTATTAAGGTAACCGCAATAAATTAAGGATCTCTATAATAAATATTATATAGCATTATATTCACCCTCGTCGAAATATTTTATATAATTTAGATATCGGGTAAAATTAATATTTATTATATAGTACGTCCCGAAACCGGTACAACCACTATACTCTTCGATTAACTTTCCTACCCCTTATACTAAGATATACTAGTCAACATTTAGAGTTCTTCCGATAGTTATACGTATATTTCCTCGTACGTATATTATATAATAATTTTAGGTATATACAATACTCAACGCCGTGATTTTTCGTATCACTCGTCTATCCGAGGACTATACTAACCCCTCTTAGATCATTAAAGTTAATTCTTAAATCTCCTATAGATTGCGCCTTTATATCTATAACTCGCTACTTTAATCGTAGGTACTCGACTTATTCGTAGTTTAAACCTAGGCTCTTTAGCTATAGCGAAGTTTAATAAGATTACGTAGCTCCCTCTAGAAATAAACTTATTAGTAAGCTAACTCTTTCTCTTATAAATATTTCCTTCTTAATAATACTCTATCAAACCTATCTATAGTCCTCTATAAAGCTATACCGCTCTTAGGAGAATTCATATAAATCCACGAGCTTCTTTTATATCTATCTTTACTCGGTCAAATTTTTAAGTTTAATAACGACTATAGGGAATTAATACTTCTCGGAGAAATTCTAGATCTAAGTACCGCCGAGACCTATCTAAAGAGAATATCATAGGATTAGGGGTTATATAAAAGAATTTATATCGCCTAAGACGAAGGCGTAAAGATATATATAGTAGTAGGGAAGGTAGTAGGAGAGAACCGCTATTATAAGATTGAATTCGAGTTAATAGACTTTCAGTATCTAGATAGGGTTACTTAGAAGTAGGGTCGTTTTGGTTCGGTCCCTATTAATAGGTTTGATAAGAGCTTTAAAGAGCTAGGTAGATAGATAAACCTAGCACTCTATCACAAAACAAACCCCTTTATCTTGATTCCGCGTCTAGGAAAAAAAACCGACGGTACGATCTTTAGGTAAGCTATATCGGAGGTTATTTACGAACGTACTTAACCTTAAGTCTCGCTATAGCGGTTGGTAGCTCATCCTATAGCGCCTAGCAAACCACTAATATATACTATCGTTCGATTTAGCTTCTTTATAGTTAACGTTCTTTAAATTATATAGGCCTAATATATAACCTATCTTTATACTATTATTTATATCTATACTAGATTACTCCTAAGAGAGGGGGTTAAGGGAAGAGTAACTATAATATAGTGTGTTTAGTAAGAGGGTTCGAGAAATAATCTCTATATATAAGTAGTGAAACTGATATTAATCTAGCCTATACGAGACAAGACACCGTATTTTAATCAACGTAAATTACGGTATCGAGAATAGTACCGGAATATAGATATTCTTAGATTATACTTAATATAGTCTAGTGTATCTTAGTAGTAGGGCTAGATAATCGCTCGAAGAGTATAGGCGGTTATACTAGTTTCGGGACGTACTATACTACTAATCGGCTATTATAGCAAATTTAAACTCGGTATAGTAGTAACCTTAATAAATAATCTACGCTAAGATCTTAGTAGTAGGGCCGAAAAGATTGTCGAAGAGCGTTCTTATTATACCGGTTTCGAGACGTACTATAGTATATAGAGGTCTATATAACTATATAGATTCTATTATAACCTATATTATTTGCGGTACACTTTTCCGATAGCTAATTTCGAAAAGTACTATATACTACCGCGGTACTACTACTTAGAGAGTAAAGACCTATTATTACTCGACGTAAGGGGTTAGAAATATCGGGACGGGCCGAGACGCGAACCCCTAAACCGCCCGACCGCGACGAATACGAAAAGTTACCGCTACGATTATTAAAACCGAGACGTATTACTAGACCGCGTAATAACTATAGCTAAGAGTAAGAAATCGAAATCTAGTAGAAAAATATACGCTCTTAGTAGAAGAAGAGAACCTAGAGTAAGCTAGTAGCCTAATATAAAACGGTAACTTCGGACGACGCGTCGACTAAGAGTAACGATACGAATGTCTAAAGGAATTAATGTACGGAGGCTCCTAGCTAATAGATACTTCTATATCGGAGGAGAATCCGGGATAACTAGCGTTTTTAAGTACCGACTACGACCGGTATAATACTATAACTACTAGGAGGTTAGTTATAAGGCATTCTAATATAAGAAGATCTAGAAGTACGTAAAATACGCGACGGAGGGCTATTACTATAGTCGCTATGATTATACGGTTCCGAAGTACGTTTTATACGATAGACCACACGAATCGTATAGTAAGAACTACCGGAAGCTCTACCCGTTATATTATAAATAGGTCACTCTAGATAATCTAGCTAAATATAAGGAAATAGGAAGTAGTATATAAAAGCCTAATAAACGACGAAGATACTTAAAACGTAGTAACGTTAGCGATCTAAGAACCCTAGGTAAGGAGGATTTAAGGCCGGCTCTTAACTACCCCGATAGGATATTATAAATAGACTAAGATAGTGCCCTCTACCTAGAGGGAAGGGAGATAGGCAATCCGAAGTATACTTTAGGTTAATAGGGATATAGAAGCGGAGTAAGTACGGATCGAGTCGCTAGATCTAATAACGGCCGTAATTCGACTTTCTAAACGACTTGTCTTTATAGTATTAGTTTACGTAGAAGGAGGGGAGGCGTCTATGTTAAGCGACGTATACGATCGCCTAAGAAAGGCTATTATAAAGGTACGGCGAGATATAGGGATAGTGGTAGAGATTATAATTATAGGTAATTTTAACCGCTATAATTAACTTTAGGGAGGGGACGATGTATCCTTAAGTAGGTAAGGCGAAGCGGATCCGACTATTAACCTTATAAACGAATTTGTACTTAGTAGCCTACTTAAGCGAGGTATTAAGATATAGTACGACGGAGGATATAGTAGGGACTATAAGTCGACTATCGACCTTATCTTAGCCTCGGAAAACTTAACGGACTCTATAACTAAGTAAGTATGTAATACTTAGGACCGACTATAGCTCGGACCACGGCGCTATTAAGACTATATTTGACGCCCTATAGCCGATCCTAAAGTATTAGGAACGGCTTCTACTAAAGAACGCGCTATAGAGCGAGATTAATACTAGAATCGCGAGCACCTTAGCCTCTACTCCGTCGGAGGGTATAGTATAGTAGAAAACCGATCGACTAATATCTACGGTCTTAGACGCGGTATACAATTTAACTCCGAAAGCGAAGCCGTCGCTATACGCGAAGCGGTAGTAGATAACTAACCTAATACAACTACGTTATATATATATATACTAGCGAAATTACGCTCGTTCGGAGCGGCAGGCGGGGCGAAAAGTACCTCGGCTCGAAAAGATAGCCTAAGATACGGCGAAACAATACTATAATACTATCCGTAAATAAAAGAAGAAGCACTAGAATAAGTTTCTCGTAGATAACGATAATATATAGAAAGCAGCGAAGTATCTAAAGTCCGGGGAGGATACGGTATTTAGGAAATTACTATAGCTCGTTAGATTAGATAGGACTACTACCGCTAACTATATAGAGTAAGTAGAGGAGTTACTATCCAAATTCTTCCCGCCCCTACCGGACAATATTAACGATAAAGGGACTAGACTATAAAAAGAGCTAGTAGAGATACCGGCTATTACTTTAGAGGAGGTAGAACGATAGCTTCTTATAGCGAAATCATAGAAGATACCGGGAGAGGACGGCCTACTAGCGATAGTTTAGAAGATAACGTAGCCTACGGTTAAGTATAGGGTCCTTAAACTATTCTAGGCGTCGCTAGTAGAAGGCTCGTTACTAAGATAGTAGAAATACGCGAAGATTATACCGCTTAAAAAACCGAATAAAGAAAATTATACGATTATAAAAATATAAAGACCGATCTTACTCCTAGCGATACTAGGTAAGATACTAGAATTAGTAGTTATAGAAAGAATCTTATATATAGTAGAAACCTACGGCTTACTCCCGACTAGTTACTTTAGAGCCTAGAAATAGCGGTCCGCGGAGTAAGTACTCTTACTCTTATAAGAATAGATCTATACGGTATAGCGGGGCCGACGGGTATTAAGCCTAATTAGCTTCGATATTAAAGGTACCTATAACGGAGTATATAAAGAACGATTACTCTAAAGGATAAAATCACAAGGTATACCGGAGGGTCTACTTCGGTAGGTTAAGATATTCTACTCGGAACGAACGGCGAATATCTAGATTAATAGGTAATTATCGGAGGTCTAAAGCCTACTATAGGCTAGGCTACCGTAGGGCTCGCCCCTATCCCTAATCCTATTTCTCTTCTTTAACGTAGACCTTATATAAAGATAGATCGATAGCTAGGGAGGAGCAGTCGCTTTTATAGATAATTTCACTATATAGGTAACTAGATTAACCGCGTAGAGTAACCGGGAAGGAATTAAAGCAATTATTAGAGAAGCGCTCGACTAGGAAAGGAGAAGCGGAGCGACCTTTAAAGCTAGAAGACAGCTATTATATACTTTACTCCTAAGACGTATAAATTAGACTATAATCCGTTTATTATTAAAGGATAGACGGTTATATCCTAAGACTACGTTAAGATCCTAGGCTTATTAATAGATATAAGACTTAAGTATAAGGAACATATTATAAGGGCCGCTTCTAAGGGCCTAGAAGTAGCGATAGAGCTTTAGCGACTTTAGGGCCTAACCCTAGTATCAACGCGGTAGCTATTTACCTCGACGGTAGCGCCGGTAGTAGACTACGCGTATAAAGATAAAGCTATAGGACCGATTAACCGAGTCTAAAGAGTAGGAGTATAAGCTATTATAGGGATATTTCTTATAGTCGCGACTAGCGTAGTAGAGGCGGAGGCCTATATTACTACTACATAGCATTAATTCTAGAGATAGGCCGTAAAGATATAGACGGATATATATACTCTACCGGAAACTAATCCTCTCCGTAAAAATATAGATCGGATTAGGAAGTTTAGGAGATACTACCGCTCGCCGTTATATTAGGTAGCCGATACGCTTAAGCATATCGATATAGAAATACTAGAAACGATTAACCTATTTACGTTAGCTCCGTAGGAGGAACGTATATAGACCGATATCGATTAACCGTAGGATTTCTAGACTAGAGTAGGTATATATATATAGATCGCGGTCAGTAGCTCGGCTCGGAATAAGCTAGTTAGATTCGGGGTAGCGATCGAGAAACAGCTACCTCGGTATCGAAAACTAAAACTAAAGACTATTTCCGTTATATTAGGTATAAGAGTAGAGCAAAATCCGTTCTCTATAGAGCTAGTAGCGATAGTATATATATTAAATATAGTAGTTAGAGTAAAAGATTACCGAATTACGCTGCTTATAAGTAATAAAGCGGCGGCTCTAATACTAAGGAATCCTCGATAATAGTTAGGTTAGGAATTCGTCTACTAACTATATAAGTTAATAAGAAAACTAAGGAGAAATAGAAACTAGATTAATATCCGGTAGATCTTAATAAGTAAAGATAATAAACTACAGAGTCTAGCTAAGGAATAGGCTAGAGCCGCGATATAAGAAGATACTATCCTATAAAAGTAGGTCCTAAGGATAAAGTTAATAATACTTAATATTATACGGTCTTAAGTAGTCCCTTATAATAACCTTCTAGTAGACGTAGGGAGATATATAAAATAAGTTAACGTAGTACTCCTAAGCAAATATACCTAATAGCTATATAACCAATTATCGTAGAAAGAAGCGAGCGTATTAGCTTAACTCCGAACCGGTATAATAAGACTTAATAGATATCTCTATCGTATTAATATAGTAAATACGGACTAGTATACGTATAGATAAACGAGAGAGACCGTAGATTACTTCCTATTTCGATATTAAAAATAGACGGTATACCGGACGGAACTACTATAATATACTAATACCTACTAAGGAAATATATCCTTCTTCCTAGGAGGAAAGTCGCCTTCCGATAATTAGAAGTAGACGCCGAACTTAGAGGCGGTATAAGGCTTAATACAATTCGCCTTCGCTATAGGCCGACTCGAGGCTACTTAACTATACTAACGAATATAAATTACCCCCTTTCGCCGACCTAACCTACTAACTACCTCGTATTATAGATAGTAGACGCGCTTTAACTACCGAAAATAGGATATTAAACACTTAGAGAAGCGCCTTTAAGCTAGCCTACTAACTAAATTACTAACCTACGAGGATCCGCTATAATACGGATATCTAAAATAATATATATTATAAGGCTTTATATATAGGCTCCGAGGAGATATAGTACTATATATATTATAATATATATAGTAGATTAGAGATAGTTGCCCTTAAGGCTTAGCCGCCGGGCGTTAATAAATTGTGTATATATATATATATAATATATAGAGATGTCTATTAATTAAGCTAGATCTATAGGCTTACTAATAACTAGTTATATCATCCCTATAGAGAAATTCGAATCTTTCTAATTTATTCGAGGTAATAGCTATATATTAAAGCAAATATTGTATATTATAAAATAGTACTATTTACATCTATAATAAATAAGATAGTTCTCTAGTAATTAAAGGCTCGTTCCCTTAGAATATTGTTTCTCCGGTAGATACTATATAATAGAGCAGCGCTAGCTCCTTTTATATCCCTTTCCTTTCTTTACCGGTAGGTTCTATCGGTACGGTATAGGCCGTAGACGTCGTATCTATTCCTATCGAATTTCCTCTGTAGTAATAGCTTTCTCGTATTCTAATATATACTTAGAAATATTATTATATATACTAAACGCGGTAAGAGACGTCTACTACGCCTCCGGCGTTATATATCTCTACTAAAGCCGTAGTCTAAGCGTAGGCTAGTCTCGCTGTAATATTAATTAAGCTAGGCTGTTAGTACCCTTAGACTTTCGCGATAGCCGCGTATTAGGGCGGCGAATAAGTAAGGGTATAGTATTAAGTTCGTCTCCCGCGGGATACGTTAGCTAATAAGAGATAAGAGATATTATTTTAGGTAATATAAGAGGTAATACTTTTAGCTAGGGCTCCCGATACTATTTATCGCCGCTATAATCTTATATTTACTATAAAGTATTCCTTATTATATTTACTCGTTATATTTAACGTATATCTATAGCCTATTGCTCTTTATATAATAGTTATAAGAAGTTAATAATTATAGTCGGTAGTACGGTCTATACTTTAGCGGCGTAAGGACTTCGATTATACACTCTTCCGAGATCGCTCGCTATCTTATAGTATTATAGTTATATAATAAATTAGATCTTAAGATTTAGTACGAAATTAAGTTTAACTTTTTACCCTCTATACTATCTAATTAATAGTTAAGGGCCTAGAAGTTACTCTAAACCTAGGTATAAATATCTAGTAATTAGAGAAACAATCTAACGGTATAAAGATATAACGACTAAGAGATATAATAAACGCTTAGTTAGATAGATTTAACAAAAATCGGACTTAAACGGTTAATAAATAGCCTATTTAAACTAAAGGGTAGTACTCGTTAGGTCTAACCTATTAGAAGCTAGCTAGCTAGTAGGCTAGTATACTTAACTAATCCGTCTATAAAAGCCTAGGCTAATTTCTAAAGGTTCGGATATTTATAGTCTATCTAACTCTCCTCTATATATTCTTAATTACGCTAACGTAAGATAGGAACGACGACTTCTTAGAATATTTTAAACTAGACCGCCTCGACTTTTAGCTATATTCCGAAGATAAAAGGGGCTACGTATCGATTATCGAGAATAGTATTAGCGTAGTTTAGGTAGAAAGGCTACCCGATCTAATAAGCGGTAGAAGTTAGATAATCTTAGCCGAGAGCGAGGGTAAAATATAGTAGATTAGGACTTATAGTCGAAAACGTTAATTCTCTAGATTATAATTATAAATCTAATAAGTATTACTAATATAATTATCGTAGAAATTTATAGCTAGTTAACAATTTCCTAAGGGTCGGTTAATTATAGTTATCGGTAACCGGTTAGCCCTATTAGGGTTTTAATACTTAAGCGATAATTAGATCGTCTTT